TCGTCATGCCTGGAGCTGATCCGTGCTGGTTGCTGAAGAAATACATCAACTTCGCACTGTGGATCGCTGGATCGGCTTTCACCGTGGATGAAGTGGAGTCCAGCCCGGGGTCGTCACATGTGGTTGCCTCAAGCCCTCCGGACGCTCCTTTGTCGAATCCGCCGGCCGCGCCGTTCTCAAGCCCACCGCCTCTGCTCACTCAGCCCACCGGCATTCCTCACTTTATCTCCCGGCCTCCGCTCACTCAAGGCCGCCGTGTGTGACGCTGTGTTTCGTTGTGAAAGCGAAACTACTTTGTTTGGCCTTCCAAAAATGGACACGATTAGAAATCAGTGGTTAAGTTGTATTTACAACACTGATCCAGAACACTTCAAACCAAATATTCAGATGTGCAGCACATTTTATGGAGGACTGTTTCCTGAACCTGGTAGACTAGACTACAATGCCAGCTGTTCTGACTCACATATTGTAAGTAAGTTTTTTATATTTAAAGAGATTTATATTTTATATTTTTTATATTTAAAGCGAGTTTTTTGGGCAGTGTAGAGTAGGGTTTGTTGTTTGTCATTTCTCTGATCAAAAATGCAGACATGCTTTTATGTTTACGCGGCGCGATGCAATGCAACGCGTAAAAAGACAGTATAAGTCATTATAATCCATAATTATGTCCCCACTGGATGCAACGAATGCCTCGTTTATAATGGGTTTTCATGTTTTTGAATCATCGCTCCGGCCTGACAGGGCATCATCACAGTATGGTAGGGGCGTAACACTTCCGTCACACGCTTGAGGTATTTGGCTAATCATAACGCACTGGATAGCTGTCCAATCACAGCACACCTTACTTTTCAGACCATTGAGCTTTGTAAAAATCGTTTCAGAAAGGCGGGGCATAGAGGAGAAACAATAATGTACAGTATGTGGAAAATAATGTGTTTTTTTAACCTTAAACCGCATAAACACATTTCATTACACAAAATAATGTTCTTTTTAGCAACATCATACGACCCCTTTAACTAAAGATCCACCAGTCTTGGCACTTCTTCTCTTTAATGAAATTTGGATGAACTGTTTGGAATACAGAGCCGGTGTCTATGACTCACTCTGCGCCTCCTTCCCATGGGGAGTGGGCGGATAACAAGGGAGATAAGAGACTGCGGCCCCTCGAGGGTGCTCCTCCTGCAGGATGAAAATTTCATCCTTTCCCCTTCACACCCCCAGAGTCTGCTGTGAGAAGATATCATTCCCTCTTTGCTGCTTTCTGCCTGTCGCTGTAAACACAGCTGACTTGGTCCTGCATCAGACACAGAGAATAATAAAGAGTTTGCATCTGTAAACCGTGGTGAATTGCTAATGTTGCCAAACTAGCAATCTGATACTGTAAAAATGTAGCTCACATCGATATTGGGTGAAATAGTCCATTTTAATAAGATGTCATGGTGACTTTTCAGTTTTGTACTGCATTACCAGCAAAAGGATTCAGGTGATGCTGGATGAATTTAGGCCAAAATTAGATCTTTTAAAGCATAAAAACAGCCTATAAGTGTGCACATGATGTCTAGTTAGGCAGCTCACTAGGGTTTGGAATGGAGCCAATATGCCAAAATCAAACGTCCTCTAGTATGTGCTTTTGAAGCATCACTTTGATGTTTGATGTTCATGTAAAGGAAAGGAAACAAAGTAACAGGTCTTTATAATTAAGTTTGGAAATCTGTGGTAATAAACCATTGCATTTTGTTAAATGTGAAGGATCACCCTTCGTTTGATCTGTTTCAGCCAGCTCCAAACATTCAGATCCATTTTATTTGGGTAATTTAGACATTATTCTGTCAAACTGAATAAATGCAGCAAGTGTATGTATTAGACTTTAATTAAAGTCTAAATCTTGATCTAGATCGTCAGACATTCATTTGCTTATAAATGTCCCTCCTTTCCGCTTGCCTTCACTCTCATTGCAGAGAAATGCCTCATTCAGTTTATGTAAAGTCACATAAGAATCTTGACATTGGAATATTTACCTCCATTTCAGGGTTATAAATGGCATGGATAGATAATAGTGGCACTCTTTGTAACAATATTGATGTGATTAAATGAGCAGCACAACAAACGAGCTCCGAACTGCCGCCCTCTCCCTTCATTTGCCTGATATAATTTGCTTAATTGAATATCCGGCAAGAAATGTGCTTTTTAAATGGCAATGCTGTTTAGGGAAGTACATATGCATCAGACTGATGAACTTAAGTGTAGCTCTTTATTAATATTCAAAGAGCATTGATTTTCTAAGTGTATGTCAGATATTACCGCTGCTGTGGAGACCGTGTTGAAGGGTTTTCTGTCAAGGCACAGGAAATCTGTAGCATCTAATTTTTCCTCTGGGATTATGATAGATTATCCATCAATCCAGAAGTCATAAAGCAAGTGCTTTTTTCAGATCTCAGACTATCAAACACTCAATAAGTAACATCATGTTGGGACTGGAATTTATGTGCATTTATGTTAGAGGGCCATTATAGAAAACAAAACTGTTGATGAAGATATACGACCGGGTAATATTTTGAATATTTGCAATATATTTGTGATGATTTTGCTGTCAATAAAATTATGCATAATTTTAAGTGTAACAGTAATTTTAATGCATTTTTATTAGGCCATGCATGCGCTGTAATGAGTGATTAATTTCACATTTCCTCCTTGTCTGACAACTTGCTAGTATATGGGGAAACAAGACATGAAATATAATAATTTCTCTGTTGTCAAAAGTTAAATAGCAAAAATTGCATTTGAGTTGGTTAGTTTTATTCATTTTTTTGATTATATATATATATTATATATATTTAATATTATTTATATACCAATCATATGCAACTCATGAATTAAGACCAGAGTGATGACTGAAGTTGCGACGTGTGCTTTTGAATCGCTGCATCCCTTCTCTGCAGTTCCTGTGCAGTCCTGTCCTGAGAGAAACGGACTGACCTTTGACCCTTCATTTAAACACGTTTGTCATCATGGAGAGTCTAGCTGCCTGCTCGTATCATTTGTCTTTCAGCAGAAGCAACTGGGGTCTTTAGAAATGCAGGCTGCGTTCAGTCCGCGCTTTGTTTTCCCAGCGTGCTCTTCCTGCAGGAATGTTGAGGAGAGCCTGCAGGTTGGGCATGCCAGAGACGCTTGGCTGGTGCAATTGTAGCATCCACTCAAAAGCTGGATCTATGTTTTCTTTGGAAAAGCAGAGACGGTGGGGAGCAGCCTGCTGTAATTACAGCGTGTGCTGAAGCAGAGAGGCTTGTGTGTGTGCCGAGCGTCACGCGCTGCAGTGTTTGTGTGTCCCTAAATGCTCGCAGTTTAATGCAGAGTTTCGGTGACTCTGTCAGCTCAGCGGTTCTCTTCCAGACTCATGATTTCCATAATAAGAGGGAGAAATGGCGCTCGGAGACGGAGGGATGTTTCCGTCTGCTCAGCCTGCAGGAATGTGGAAGTGCACCTTCAACTCCCGATCAAACGTTTGAGCGTTTGAGGGTGGAAGCTGTTTGCTGAGCGCCAGTGGCTCCAAACTTTCTGCTGTGGTGGTGGTGTAATTAGTGCTGGTCTACGGGCGTCTCTCTGTGGTGTTTCCATGATTATTTTCTCTGCGGCAGAGGGGGTGTGTTGGATAGCAGATGTCTGCTTTGTGTGAGCATGATTAATTAGCCCAGGTCTGGCCAATTACATGATGAGCGCTTCTGGTTAATAAATGAATGCATCATCTTAATCATGAATGAGTGAGAGCGTGCATGGGGTGGCTTCATTGGAAAGACACGAGAGCCCTCAGCACACAGGCTATTAACACACACAAACCCCAAGACACACGCACTCAGTGTGACCTCCAAAGGCCAGAGGTGTCTGTGCTCGTTGAAACGCTCTCCAGAGACTCATTGTGGCTGGAGATCACTTACTTGTGTTTAAAACCACTTTATTAAATTAACACAGTGACATCATTCGTTGTGTGCATGATGTCACTGTGTTAAAGGAATAGATCAGCCCAAAATGCAAATGACTCGCTCTATATGTTCTCCTGCTGACCAATAATGCCATAGAGAAATAAATCCTTAAACTAATACTTAATGTCATATCGAAATATGAGTTTTGTCTTATTATGCAATAAAGCACTTGAGTACCGCCGTTGTTATTTTTATATTTTTTACATACCTGTAGTATTATTGTATTTATTATTCAAATTTTGATTTTGCTTTTATTATTGCATTTTTTTTTCTTTTCATTTTTGTTTAAGTTGTAGTAATTGCGTTATGGGCTTTTGTCATTTTTATTATTTTATCTATTTATTGATTCAGAAACATACAGCACAACCAGTGTAGTCTGATTCCAGAACAAATGATTCTTATGAGCTGATTCCTTTAATGAATAGTTAGTGCTAGTTACCATATTGAATCACTCTGAAGAATCAGTCTGACAAAATGTATTTAATCAGAGCGGTTATTGAATCAGCATCTGTGAACTCTGAACTGAACTAGCTATCATTAGATTCAGTGATGAAGCAAGTTTCATTAGATTTCAAATGAAGTATGTTTGTCTACATAACAATGTTTTGTTAAATATACTTATTTGCAATGTTTTTTTTGTTTGTGTATCAGATATTTAGACTACTGTGTCATGATTTTCAGTAAATAATGACTTAATATTTTGGCTCTGTTCCTCACAAAGCTATTGTATGACTTTAGAAGACTTCATATGAAATGCTTTGCTCTCAGAGTACTAATAATTAAGTAATGTTTGGAATGTGTTGATGTAATGTTTGATTGCATCCATTACTATGATGCTTCATGATGTCATTCTCCTATTGCTTTAAATTATGGCATGATCATACAGAATTACGGGAATGTGATGTAATGCTCTTGGAATGCTAATAATGAGCTTGTGTTTTGGATGATGTCATGTTTGAGGAATTGTATGTGCTGTTTGCTTTGCATCTTTCTGATGTCATTCTCCTTTGTGTCCCCCATCAGGTCTCACTAAATGGTAGCGTGAGCGTGTAGTGATCCAGCAGGAGTTTAGGAACCCCTGCGGTGAGTGCCATCCACAAATCATGGTGCCACATAACCGACAGGCCTCTCCTCGCGGCAGAGCCTTGTCCCTCCTGCTGCTGCTCTGCCTGGCAGTGCCAATCCATGCAGACAGTGAGTAGCACACTTAAAAATACACATTACTCTCTTCTGTCAGTACAAGACTGTGAGTATGTACATCTATGATCTAAAAAGTTAAGTGTGTAGGAATGGGAATATCATGGAGTTTACAAAACAAACAACCTTCTTTCCTAAAGAGGCTGTTGTTTTACATCAGACCGGTTGTCAAGTGTTATTTTCTTTCAAATAAATTGTAGGAATTCTGGTTAGTACTACACTCTTAAAAATAAAGGTGCTTCAAAAGGTTCTTCAAGCGATGCCATAGAAGAACCATTTTTGGTTCCACAAAGAACCATTCAGTCAAAGGTTCTTTAAAGGACCATCTCTTTCTTGCGTTTTTGTAATCTGAAGAACCTTATTTCACCACAAAGAACCTTTTGTGAAACAGAAAGGTTCTTCAGATGTTAAAGGTTCTTTATGGAACCATTCTTCTATGGCATCGTGAAGCACCTTTATTTTTAAGAGTATATAAGCACAGCCTGGGAAAAAATTAGTTGAGGAAATATGGATGTCAGAGGGATTTGAAATGTTGGATGCAATCACCGTTGTGTTGTTTGTGTAATAACATTTGCGGGAGGAGCTTTCAGATTCACATCGATCTTGCTTGTCTCAAGGGACCCGCGTGGATCTGAAAGGGCCCCTATTATGCCATTTCGAATATTGCCTTTCATGAAGTGTGAAATGTAGCTGTATGTGAATGTAAATGATCAGCAAAGATGTAAAGCCGAAAGTGCATGATAAATAAAAGTATTATCTCCCAAATGAAAGATTCAACTCTGAACAGCCTAAACGAGTCGTCAGTAATTTGAATCCCTCTTCCGTCAAGGATATATTAGCATAATTCCTGCCTATGTTCTACGTTAGCTGGCTGCAAACATCTTGACCCGTCCTCAAACACTGTAGCTTTGTGTGGTTCACATCATGTCGAGAAGACGCTGCGTCAACGTGGGATTCACAAAAGCTTGCTCTTGAGAGATGAGCTCAGTACCCAGTTTATTTGGACCAACTGACTCCACTGAATCACACCCTGTAAGTATGATAAATAATAGATGTTTATATTTACTATCAAGCGTTCAAAATACAGAGCTATGGCGATGGGCGTATTGTTTCCAACACACGCTGTATGCGGCAGACCAATCACAACAGACTGAGCCATCTGACCAATCAGAGCAGAGTAGGCTCATTGAAAGGAGGGGTTTATAGAGACTGAATCTTAGAACTGCTTTGAACGAATAGTTTGAGAATTGTTGGAAAATGAGGTGATATTAAATGCATATTTTGAGAAAACTAAGGCGTTTTTTGACCTTGCATGCATGTAAACCTATTGTAGGAGACTCCAAAAACAATATTAGGAACCTTAAAAATGGAATAATAGGGGCATTTTAATGAATGTGACATGCTTCGTGTCACATTTATCCAACTTTTAAAAGGCATATTAATCTGTCCGAAAATATGAGACCTGCTGGTTTGCTTTTTTGCTGGGGATATTGTTGCTGTAATTATTATAAGATTTGGGTCCTGAAACATAGGAGTCCCCGGAGAAAGATTTTAGCAAGTATTTTTGCAAAATCAAATAGCTGTTTTTACTCCAGCTATAAATCAGAATTGATAAGAGTGTGTTTGTGCAGCAGTATGAGAGTCACAGGCCTTATGTCATGTAGTCCCTGAACCCTGAGGCCAATAAAAACAATAAGAACACCAAAGTCTGGTCACTTATTACCGCTGCTGATCTTTATGGTGCAGTAATACCAGCAGCATTAATCATTTACTTATCGCTACCATTACCAGACTAGGACTCACCTTATGTGGAATTATAGTTGTGTACCTTGAGAAAAATATTTAGGTCTTGCAGTCTTCTGGAAGGTTGACCAAGTTAGATTAAGGTTAAGGTTAAGGTTAAGTTAGCTATTGGCTGTGGCCTTTTATTCAGTTTGTTTTGGAATAGATGGTGTAAATGTCTGGGGCAGGTGGGCTGTGAATACTTTTATAAAAATCTTTTATCTAGCAAGGATGAATTAAATTGATCAAAACTTTTAAAAAGTGACAGTAAAGACATTTATAATGTTACAAAAGATTTCTGTTTCAGATAAATGCAGTTCTCTTGAACTTTCTATTCATCAAATGTTCTTGAAAAAATGGATGACCGTTTTCACAAAAATATGGAGCAGTATAACTGTTTTAAACGTTGATAATAATCAGAAATGTTTGTTGAGCAGCAAATCAGCATATTAGAATGATTTCTGAAGATCATGTGACACTGAAGACTGGAGTAATGATGCTGAAAATTCAACTTTGCATCATAGAAATAAATTGTATTTTAAAATGTATTCAGATAGAAAACAGTTATTTGAAATTGTAATAATATTTCACAATTTTCCTTTTACTGTATGTTTGAGCAAATAAATACTATGCAAATTTTGAGCCTTTTGACATTATCCAGTAAATTTGCTTTGAAATATAAATATATTTATATATATCATATATATTTTAATTAAAGTTATTGTAGCCAAATGAATCCAAAATAATTAATGCATGAAGTAAAATACAGTAAAATATAGTTCAAATAATAAAATAATTAGGGATGCACCGATACAGATACTGGTATCGGTATCAGGCCGATACTGAGCTCCTGTACTCGTACTCGTACTCGTTAAAATGCCCCGATACCGAACGCCAAAAACACACAACATGTGATAAGAGCAATATTCAGACAAAGAAACACCGACAACAGAACAACAGACTGCAGAATGGAGTTACTAGAGATTAAGGATGTATACGGAGTATATGTATGCAATTAATATAATGTTAAACATTCAGTATTAACGCCTGTATAGCTGATGTGAGCGAGTTCATAAGCAAAGCACGCTGAGTGGATTGAGCGCGCGGTGGTACAGATGCGCGAGCTTGTCGAGTTAATATCCCTTTCTCAAAAAAGAGCGCGCGCACTTCTGTTGTGTGATCTTTGATGTTCACTCATTTAGCACACGCATTGGATTAAAACGAAATCGTAAAAATATTACCATTTATAGGGGCATTCACTATAAACATCATTTATTTTCAACTTTAGGCATACACAACTTTCTGGCGAAAGTGAATCTAGCAGCCTGTGTGAAATGCGCTAGGCTGTGCTACTTGTCCCTCTCATTCTGCACAAGTACAAATACGTGCACACGTTGCACATGTTTTGCTGGCTTGAGTGTTTCTGCATTATATGAGTGGCTTTGGAATATAAATCGCAGCACATTTCAGATTAAATAAACTCGATTTATATTAAAAATAATCTACAGTAGTCTTTACTAAATTAATGCAAGGAATAATTGTTGATTTTTATATTCCTCAATATAAAAATATATAGTATAAACAGTGACCTTAGTATTTTTATTAAAACATTTACATATATAAAAATGTCAATTTAAACATTTGTGAGTGATGATGCATGTTGTCACACCACCATGAGCTTTATGTGTCTTGCACTGTTTCTCGCTCCTTGTTTGTATCGTCGTGGTTTTTCATTTGATTATGTTCAGGTGTGTCTCGTTATCGCCACTACTTAAATAGAAAATAGTGTGTCAATAATGCAAAATGACAATAGTAAACTCAATTTTCAGTTAAAGGCAGTTCATCATTGAATTCAGTTTGATTTGCTTCAATGAATTGGTTCAAAACTCGAATCAACATTTCACATGCGTCACGTCTTAGCTGTGTAGTTACATGCATGAAGACAAAGATAACTCAAAAACAGTTTTTAATAATTCGAAGAGGGCAAATCCAACTGAAGAACAGTGAATCCAAACACAGCAACACAAAGACCAGAACCGAAAATGAAACACAAGGAGGACAGAACTTAATACTGTAAAGTTGCTTTGACACAATATGTATTGTTAAAAGCGCTATATAAATAAAGGTGCCTTGACTTGACAAACATCAAACTCTATTGCCACTTTTATGACTTAATTTTAGATCAGATATGCAATTAAAATGTTTTGTCTTAATGGTCTCATAATCCCGAGTCATGGCACATGTTTAGGAAACATAAAAGTTGTTTAAAATCATTGTAATGCTGGCTAACTTTACGTTGGTATTGTAAAATGTATTATAGCACCTGTCAGTGTTTGTGACTCCGATGTCAGGCCTGTAGATGGGGAAGATGGCAAATGTTCCTGAATTTGCCCTCTGCTCTCCTTTGCTCTTCACGCTGATGGAGCCCTGCGCTCTCATGCAGGGGTGAGAAAAGCCTTTAGCAGGTTTCTCAGCTGAATGCACCGGTTTTCTCACTCTTATAATCTCTGGCTCTCACAGTCTCTCTCTCTCTCCTCACTGTATGAAGTCCTTCCACCAGCAGCTGGACCAGCTTGTGTTCACATTATGATCCACTCAATAGATTTTTGTTTTTCTCCACTCACACTTTCCTTTCGAGTCTCCTTGCAGACTTGTGTAGGATGCAGTCTTGAAGACATTAAGCACAGAGTACAAAATCACCATGTTTTATTTATGAGAGCAAATATGGTGCAACTTGAGGTTTCAGCAGCGCCGGGACTTATACAGCTGCACGTCCTCTAATTGATGCTGTGCTGAGTCCGTGTTGCAGAGCTGCTTTTGTGCTAATTCCAGTATGGGATTAATGCCAGTGGTCACAGAGGGAAGGTCCTTGCAAAGGAAATCACCTCTCACATTCACACAGATATTGCTAAAGCCACATGCAGCTAAAGGAAAGAACCATCCTGCTCCTTTCTTTCTGCTTTGCCTGATTCCTTCGTCTCTCAACCCAAAACCGACTATCCCTTAAAAAAAGTCATACACTGGGAAAAAATAGATGTGATAAAAATGTTCACTCTGAAATTGCTAACAAATTTCACAAATAATTGCAAAGAATCGGGTACTAACACATTTAATAAAACATTACATTTTTAAGTAGAAATACATTTATAAATCTGTTGTCAACAAAAGAGATGTCTTTGAAATGTTTCCCTGTGGTTTTCCGCCAAAATACAACT